AGAGAGAGAGAGAGAGAGAGAGAGAGAGAGAGAGAGAGAGAGAGAGAGAGAGTACCTTGTGTCGACGGAGGTAGGCCGAGGTCGTCGTAGGCCGGCGGAGGTAGGCGGAGGCCGGCGGAGGGTGGCTGACGCAGACGCAGGCAGGCGGAGGCCGGCGGAGGCAGGCGGAGGCAGGCGCAGGCAGGTGGAGGCAGGCGCAGGCAGGCGGAGGCAGGCCGACGCAGGCGGATGTATGAGGAGGCCGGCGGAGGCCGGCGGAGGCCGGCGGAGGCAGGCGCACGCAGGCGGAGGCAAGCGGAGGCAGGCGCTGGCAGGCCGACGCAGGCGGATGTATGAGGAGGCCAGCGGAGGCGGGCGGAGGCAGGCGCAGGCAGGCGCACGCAGGCGGAGGCAGGCGGAGGCAGGCGCTGGCAGATCGACGCAGGCAGGTGCACGCAGGCGGAGGCGGGCGGATGGACGTGGGGGTAGGCGCAGGGTTGGTGGATGGATGCAGGGTGGCATAGGACAGTCGCGAATGACGCGTCTGTTCTGGGCAAGGGTTGGTAATCTGAATAATGGTGGCAGAAGGGCACTGGGCCCTCGAGAAGAACGGAAAAAAAAAAAAAAACTGTCGGCCTATTTTCGGTTGGTACCGGGCTTGGTTTCGTTTGTGCCGGCCTGCCTTTTTTTTTTGGGTACCGTCCTCTTTCGCGGTGGGTACCGGCCTCTTTTTTGTTGGGCCTGTTCTCCATCGCTGCCTCTTTGCGTGGTCACGAGAACATGAAGGTACCGCCCTCTTTTTTGTTGGGGCAGTTCTCCATCGCTGCCTCATTTAGGGATGCCAAGACAGGAGAAGAGAAGGAGATTATAGTACAAATCTGCGATAGGGGAGACATGAACATCTGAGCATAGAGGTATCTATTGTTGATGAGTTGATAAGAGGAGGATAGACGAAAGGAAAGCGGTAGAGAAGATAAGAACGAAGAGGAGTGCAGCGTTGTGCCCTCCATTGATTCCTCGATGACTCGCAAAGGTATGTGTGATGGGAAACTATCCTCTCTCTCCCATTCACCTTTTTTTTTTTCGTTTTTCCATTTTTTTTTGTAGTGCGATTTGGGAGACTGATCGAACAGGGTGGGGAAAGGTGCTTCACGCATGGCAAAACTATGATGTGGGGTGGGGGGGAGAAGATCTCCCTGCAATCTCTCCCCCCCCCCCCATCTGTTTCTTTTTTTTTTTCCCACCTTTTTCCTTTTTTCTTTTTATTTGGCTTTGCGATGTAGGGGACTGATCGAACAGGGTGGGGAAAGCTGCTTCACCCATGGCGAAACCATGAGGTGGGGTGGGGGGGAGAAGATCTCCATCTTATCTCCCTCCCAATCTCTTTGCTTTTTTTTTCACGTTTGTCCGTTTTTTTTAATTTGGCTTTGCGATGTAGGGGACTGATCGAACAGGGAGGGGAAAGCTGCTTCACGCATGGCGAAACTATGAGGTGAGGTGGGGGGGAAAAGATCTCCCTGCAATCTCCCCCCGCCACGCCCCCAATCTGTTTCTTTTTTTTTTTCCCACCTTTTTCCTTTTTTTTTATTATTTGGCTTTGCGATGTAAGGGACTGATCGAACAG